GGGGGGGGGGGGGCGGGGGGGGGGGGTTATGGGTGGACTGGACTCGGGACTGCACCGCTCACCTTCCTGTCTGGTTGATGGAAACCGCTTTGGCACCGTGCCATCTCTCTCTCTCTCTCTCTTTCTCCCTCTCTCTCTCGCTGCCTGTCTTTCTCATCATGTCTTGCAGGTGTTCTCGGATATGACTTCCACCACAGCGCTGTTGTTCCACTCCCTCACCCAGCATTAGCCGTGCCAATCGTTGCTTTTTTAGACGAACGAACGTTCGTTGCGCCCGGGAGGATCAGTCTGGTTCCAGCTGCCCACACACACACACACGCGCGCGCGAGAGAGCACACTCTCACACGCACATCCCCTCTCGGGTCTCGGATAAGCGCCGCTCTCTCGTGTCGTCTGTCATCTGACTATTTCATAGAACCGAAACAGCCCACACTGACTAACCCTAACCCCAACCCTCTCTCTTTGGTCGTTCGCTGGGATTTTCTTTATAGTCATAGTTTGACTTTGATACGAGGAGTTTGTCCCCCCTCGTTGCTTCGAGATCTTTTAAGTATTTATACCACCTCTGCTGTACCGTTTTGGGTGACAGAGATCGGTGCGAACCACATTTTCTAAAGTTGCTGTCTAATTAAATTGAGTGCTGTATGGCGCGCTGGACGTGCTCCAAACGGTGTATTAACGATACTTTAAAGCTCCTCTGTGGGCCACAAAGACCAGCAAAGCAGCCCTTAGCACCGGATATATACGCTTTACAAAATAGAGGGGAAAAAAAGAATAATCAGAGAAACTTTGTCGGGATTGTAGAGCGCGCAGTGCGGATCCCATCCGGAGAGAGTTCCCCTCTCCTCCCGCCGGGCTGTCCGTCCCGGAGCCGCACGGGCACTAATTAGAGGGACGCGCTCTCGGGACGATCGATGCGCCTCATATTGGCTGGCTCCAGTTCATTGACGAGCTCGGAGATGGAAGCAGCGGCTAAAAAGAACCCACTCCGGTCCCGGGGCGGGCGCCCGATAAGCGCAAAAAACCGTCTGCCCGAGCAGATTGAAGGGACCGAGAAATGGGCAAGGGATTAGCCGGGGGGGGCTATACTTGGGGGGGGGGGGGGGCTTTGATGCTAAATGAAAGCCTCGTTGCGTTTTGATTAAACGCCGGTGTCAGTTGGCACGGCGAAGGGGGACACCTGAAGGTCTAAATGAGATTTGGAGCCTTTAAAGGCGCACGGAAAAAGCAGTCCGGGGAGGTGGAAGGTCTCCAGGCTGGACGTGAGATTGGAGACGTCTGCCTGTTTACTATAAATAAACCCGTTTTTTGGTGCCGCAGTGGCGCTGCGCCCGCTTGACTTTAATTTGGATGCAAATGACAGGTTTCAGAGTCTCGATGTTCCATTTGGAGTGCGTAACGTCGCGACCCGGAGTCCCCGAGTGTCCTCGCGGGGTTTAATTGATCTCAACATGGCCCAGGCGGCCCTGAACTTCCCATCCAGCAGACCGCAAACTTTGATGGCTGCTAACATTTGGCTAATGGAGGCC